ATGAATAATGTATGACCTAGAGATTAAGGTAATTTTTTATGCACACCAGAGAATGAATTGAACTTGAATTTTCATTAAATTAAACAGTGCTAGTTGAACAGTTAGGTGAACTGGCAAGTCTTGTTTCAGTTCTTCCCTGAGAGGCAGAAAACATTGGTGTTTTCAATGGAAAACTCACCAGTTTATGTTCAAGTAGTTCATTAAATCTTGGCTGAAAACTCTACAGCAGACTTAGTATAAATGATGAAATTGCCCAGATTTTTTGATAAATAAACTTAAAATTTTAATTAGATCTAAATTATTTAGTCATTGGCTATTCACTACTGCTACAGGTCTTTCCCTTTAAGCACTAAGTGGCTACTCTGATTCTGCTTGTAAACAACAATGCAATATTAGCAATTAATTAGGTGAGGTTTCACAACAAAATTCTTGGTTATAGTTAAAATTAATTTTGTATATTCAGAAAAATTAGAAGACAGAAAATTAATTTTGTATATTCAGAAAATTAATTTTGTATATTCAGAACAATTAGAAGACAGGAAATTTGTGAAAATCACGTATTTTATTAGGAAATAACATCTTATTTCAAAGTGATATCCTTTGAGAGTTACAGCTCACTACTTAAATAAGATGTGCCCAATCTGTCCCTCATTTTAGACTGTAAAATTATTTCTGCTGTCTGTGATATTAATGCATGGCCTATCTCTACCAACACGTGGTAGTGTCTTCCCAAGAACCATTACGTATGGTTCCCATTAGAGTGTCTCTGGTATAAAGATGACAGCAGAAATGATCCAAAGTTATAGTGTTGATTTTATGTTAGTAATTAATTAAAACACAGTAGTTTTGAAATGGGTAACCTATACTTTAGATTAAATTTTTGAACTAAAGATTTAAGCCAAAAGACTTGAAGGCATAATAACGTAAGACAGTTATATACTATTAATATAATTTTTTGTTAAGTTTTACTAAACTGAAGATTATGTTTACATAGGCATCAAACTAACTTCCAGGGAAATGAAAGCACAAAAAAAAGAAATCATGCTGAATCTAATTTAAAAAAAATAAAAAGATTCCCAAAGTATAATATGGACTTCAGTGTCTTTGGGCTGCTAAGAGAATGGTGTATCAGCATATTAATGAAACATTTAAGTAATGGGTTTGACCATGTCTACTGAAGAAGGATCAATAAAGAAGATGAAAAAAAAATGTTTTCCTAATGTATCAATGATTTCCCAGCAGAGATACCATTTTCTACAATCTTAATGCATTTCGATATAGAAATAATGCCTTTAGTGCTAAGGAGCCCATAAAGGAAGCTTTAACAATGGAAGTGAGCATCATTTCATGAATTCTTTTTCCCTTGCTTGGTGAGCCCAGCTCCACCTGCAGTGGGTACCTCTGCCCACAGGGATTACACTTGCACCAAAAATGATTAAATGTTTCCCAGTGAGTATTGAAAAGACATGTATGGATCAAATACACTGGCAAAGATCCGAAGAATAAATTCCTGAACACTTAGTTTGCATCAACCTCAGTTTGTGCTAGAGTTACTCCTCACCAATGAGCACTCAAAAGACTTTTATAAATGTTACAAACTAAGCAACAACTTCAATGCAGGATAAGGATTCGTATGTGTTTGTTTTAGGAAGGAAGATAAAAACCGTTAGTTTAGCCCCTGACATGGTAAAAATCTCATTGGCAAAATGAGATTTTTTATATAATTGCAGAATGAGAAACCACTTTATAGATCTTTGCATATATTATTAAGAAAATCAGATCTAAATTAATAAAGGCTTATTAGCACCAGTAATTTCTGCCCTCTTCCTGCTTTGTGAAGCTATATTTCAAATAAATTGAGACATACAAATATCCCCCTGAATTTTAAACACTTGTGGTTACACATATGCATATCTATATTTGTAAGTGATCACCACCAGAGCCACCACATGCAGACTCAGCTGGCAAACTGAGAAGGGGTTGGACCAGATGACCTCCAAAGGTGCCTTCAACTTTAATTACTCTATGGCCTCAAGTTTCAAGTCTGGGTTCTAACCTTCCTAAGTAATCTCTTTTCCATCAAGGAAATGTATGGATTTACGGATTTAGGTAAAGCAATGTTGCAGACATCTTGCAGTGTCATTAATATCACTGGGAATATCTCAAATGGTGAGATTTTGTATCAGTACTGAAAAGTTAACCTTCAGAAAATTAAAGTTTAATCTTCAAATAGGTAAATGTGTTTCTCTTCATATCTATATTATTAGATTTGAAAGATTATAGCAGTCAGAAAAATAAATTTCAATATGCATTTGTGTATAATCTAGGCTTTAACAAATTTGGGTTGGACATTAAAAGCACTTGCAAAATTTCAGCCATATAATCAGAAGGACTGAAAAATCTTAAGGAGATGAAAAGGGCTTTGTCATTATAATTTTCATTGTATTAATGGCATTGTATGGCTAAAGCTCTGCTCATATGGATAGAGAAGCATCTCTGATATTTCTGGCTGGAAAGAAGGTTTACACAGAAAATTGCATACCCATGCTCACTTCTGATCCTTGTGGAATTCTCATAAAAGCTGGAATTCAGTAGCATTTTCCCCCAGCTACATTGGCTGTGTTTTCCCTCCCCTGTCTCACACTAATTTCATAAAGTATTTGCTGGTTTTGGAGATGTGGATTGCCAAAATGGCTTGAGATGAGAGATGAGCAAACAAACAGCTGTTTCTGTCATACAAATAATTCCCAAGAAGGAACAGAAGTTTCAGTTCCTGTGGGCTGCTGTTCAATTAGGTTGTTCTAGATCTGAGAAAATTTCTAGCCAAACACACCGCTAATCTTGCACTGTCAATGGACCAGACTCTACTACTCAGCTGGTTTGAGTTTTGAAGCTTTCTCATTGCACTGACATTCAGTAACATATTGCCTTTGTGAAAGAATGCATTTGATTTATTTTTCGTTTCCATTCGGAAAAACATATTCTTTTGAGAGAATGGTAGTTTAATTGGTTATAAAACAGGAATAAGGTTTTTATAAATAAAGATATTTTTCTTCATTCACTTTGCATAGTTTGAAAACATATAATCTAGTGCCTTCTGTTTTCAAAGACTTTATTTAGAAGTATTTCCTTTCCTCCAGGAGAGAAAATTTGGCTTCAATTATGTTTCCCTGAATTACAATTAGATCTTTGAACTCCAGACAAGTGAATAATAAAAAAAAAATCCTCCCAATTTAATTAAATTGGCCTGTTTGTCAGTACCAGCAGAATACTATGGACCATATTGCCAATTAAAACTTTGCTTTTGATTCCTAATAAAACACTGCAAGTCCAGGCTTGTGCAGCCAGAATGAAGAGGCTGCATTGCCAATTGTTGATCTGGGAATCCCCCAGGCTGCCATGGCTGGTGCAGTGAGGGTGAGGTGCTGCCTGGAGGATCAGTCAGTGCCTGGTGCCCAGCACACCTAACAAAGGTGGAGATGAGATTCATTAGCAGCTTCCAGCTCAACTCACAGCAAGCCCAGCTCTCTCTCCATACTCACACTGCTATTTCCTACAGCCCTGTGTAATCTCAGGCTGCTTCAAATGTCCCTGAGACCTCAGCACCTGCTGGGAGGCAGCATCCCACACTGAGAGGCAGAAAGAGCTGCAGCTCTCCCTGTCAGGCTGTGCCCAGGGGAACAAAGAACCCAAAGCCTCTTTGCTAGTGAGATTGTGTTTGTGCAGGTGATTTAGAGCTCCCAAACACCAACACTGGAAAGCCTCTGGGCCGCTCTGGGTGCTACAAGGTGGATGCATCAGGAAATGTAGGAGCACTACAGGGAAGAGCAGGCACAACCTCAGCTGAGCAAAGATTGCTGTTAACAAAATGGTGCCCTCAGGCTCTGGGAGGAGTGGTCCCTTCCCTACTGCAACATGGCCAGCTGGGCCTCTTTCAACCTTGTGTGCCATGCAGAAGATCCAGCCCCCATGAGAATCTGCTTCTCCCTGCTCTTTCCCACTCCAGATTCTAGCTGCAACTGGAAAATAATTATTTTTCTGCTTTTCACCCTATCACTCTATACACTGGCTTAAGACTTTGTAGTATCATTAAGATATTCCATATCTAGCCAGAAGTGTTTAAACTTTATCACAAAAGCAGGGCAGGGAAGAAGGGCACTGGCATATTATGCAAAAAACCATAAAGTTGTCTAGCACTGTTCAGCTGATTACCACTAAGATTCTGAAATGAAAATATCTGATTATGTCATATTCTAAAGTAGTTTCTAGAACTGGAGGCACTGATTTTGGGAAAACAAAACATCCATTAAGACTAGTCTACACATTTCTGACTCTGAACTTGCTTTTTTTACTGTACTAAGCAGGTTGAATTAGAACTGCTGTCATAGTTCTGAGGAGCAGAAAAAGCCCAGCAGACAAACTTTTCACCCTCTGTGGATTCTGGTTAGCAAAAGGGAAAAGGAAAACCCTTGGCAAAAAATTTGTGCTCAACTTTCCAAATGCACAATAAACTCAAGTTCATCGGAGTGAAGAAAAGCTGCAGGAAAAGTTTGTCTGAATAAATATAATTATTGGTCTTGTCAGTAATGTGTTTCATCAAATCATTCTGTCCAACAGAAGTAAAGCAAAAACAATGTGTATATAATAAGTGATATTTTGGTGGAGAGTTGCATAAGCTAAGTGACAGATTTGTTTCATAACAGGTCCCACCTGAGTCAATGAGAGAAAAAATAGCCATGACAAAGGTGATAAGCACTGATGTTCCTCTGAACAGACAATGTGATCTCAACCGTACTAAAAGGAAATGATAAAATGAACTGTAACCTCAACTGTTATCTGGCATCTTTATTGAGAGTCTAATTTTGAAAAGGAGACATTTTTAAAATGTTTTTACAGTATTATTAAAATCTTAAATGTGTCTGTGTTGTCTTCCAAAGAAATTACCTTCAAATTTGTATCTCTCAAGGCTTTTCTTCTTTTCATTTTTGTCTCTTTAATAGCTCCACACAAAAGGGAGATGATGATTATGAAGACTACACTACAAATAAGACTTGGGTTTTGACTCCCAAAGTCCATGAGAGCGATGTGACTCTTATTTTAAATGGTTTGCTGGAAGGATATGACAACAAATTGAGACCTGACATAGGAGGTACGTTGGTTTTGGTTTTAGATCACTGTTGATTAAGCAGTGAAGAGAAAGAATTTTCATGTCATATTAGGCTACTCAGGAAGCAGAATCAATTCAAAGTAGTTACAAGACTAAAATGCAATGCAGAAAAACATCAGAGGCATGTAAATTAGTAATGATTTTGGAAGCTGACATAAATTAAGATGGCTGAATCTATCCTAAGTCATCTAATAAGAGTGTTATAATTTGCTGAATCAGGCAGCTTGTGATGATTTACCTGCATATCATGTTCAGAATTAAACTTCTGGGGAAAGAAAAAGCAAATTTTTATCTTTTTTTTTGTACCTAAGAGATTCTGTCAGAGAATCACAAATAATACAATGGAAAGAAAGGCCAAAAAGAGGCTAATGCAGCCTAATCCTTTTATGATGTGATGGATACAGAGCCTCTAACAGCAGCAGGCTTGCACAGATTGATGCAGCCTGGGCAGGAGGTGACAGAATTGGGCACAGAGGAGGAGGTTCACAAAAGATAACTGCAGTCAAGCAAAGCCAGACTGCCCAGACAGTTCCCACAGCCAATGTAGGTAAATAGAGCCAAGCCTGCACTCAGAATGGAAACCTTATTTGACTCAATCACCTTTTGGAGGGACCTTCCTCTCCACTGATTACTGGGGTAACCCCAAGGAAAAAATCTCCCTGAATTGCTGAAGTCAGTTTGAGAAGCCCCATGAGAGCATAGAGCAGGCAGACAAAACCTCTGCAGAAGAGGATACAGCAGTAAGAAGATTATAGAAAAAGGCACAGAATTCATGGATGAGGTAGACAGAGGAAAGCAGAGAGCAGCAAGGTTAATGAAGGAAGCTAACAAGTTTATAGTGGCTTGTAAACTAAGGAATTTTTCACAGTGAAGGATAACATGAGTCTTTAACTTTCAGTGTATGTATACAGTGTAAATTAGCAAAAGAATTTGTCTTCACATAAACCAAGACTTTAGAAACAGAAAATAAGTAAAGCATTCCTAAAATCATCTGGGATAAAAACAACCATGCTGTAGCCAAGATATATAAGAATAATAAAGCTGAAATGGAGTGATTTCAAAAGAAATTAACACAACAGTTCTTAATTTCTGCCTTAGAGCCTTATGCATTTTGGCTTTGGTCTCACAAAATTGTTACTTATCTACAGCCACCTATGCAGGCAACAGCAGTCATGTTGCATTTGGCATTACAATGTAAAACAAGTGATGAAAGCATCATAAGATAAATAAGTTTGCTTTTGTTGATAGCGTTTTGTTTTGATGCTCTGCTGTGACCTGAGACAAAATGCAGACTCTCTCAGTCAGATGAGCCTCTCTAGGCTATGAGCACTGGTTTCAGTGTTTGTTCTCATAGCATAAGGGAATTGGTTTTGATAGAATAAATTATAAAAGAATTTGTCCAAAGCATCTCCAACTAATTTAGAACTGAAGACATGGTTGCAAATTTGTATTTAGTTTATATGCACATTTAAATGCGAGGCAACCACAGGGGAGAGATGCCATAGTAACATGCTCCTGCTTGACTTTCATGTAGTTGATTTTGACCTTCATTGGTTACTGATTCTTGTTGTTTCTCTTGCAGTTAAACCGACAATAATTCACACTGACATGTACGTAAATAGCATTGGCCCCGTGAATGCTATCAATATGGTAGGTAAAGGATTGCCCATTTGCCTTGTTACAGTCTCCATCATTTTGACATTACAAAGCTTCCATTAGTTCTTAATGTTGTGTCATACCTATTTTATTTTTTAAATCTCATTTTAATTATGGATGGGAGGACTTGATGTGCCATAAATCTGTACAAGTCAGAAAACTGAGCTATAAGCTGTAAATGCAAAAATAATTGTTTTAACCTATCCTCACATTTTTATGTGCTCTGCTTTCAAATGCTTTGCAACAGTTTAACTCCAGAAAAACCAATCTTCCAGATTGCTACAAAATTAGGAAAACCATTAATGAGTGATATTACCACTCTTGCCACCATGAGAAAATAAGTAAAAGGCCTAGAACTTCTGCAGGGACTTCACCATTTCTGAGATCAACCAGGGGGCATGGGCAATTAGTTGGCTCAAGCTTTTACTGTTCTAGGTCCAAAGAAATAATAATTGTTCTCTGACCTGAGCAGGTGTGGGCTGAGATGTGGGGACACAGAATTAGAAAGGTGCATATAACACTCACTTGCCCCTCAGTTTTACCCTCAATGGTAAAATAATAAATTGTTCTAAAAGAATCTTTGGTAAAACGTGCCTCAAAACTTCCCCAAAACAAATTGGTTTTATCAGTTCTAGTACCACCTTCTGTAGCTCCAGTTTGTTCATATGAAATTAGGGAAAGCATATCAGGAGTTATGTGGAATGCTGAGTGCTATGTTTTCATCAGTATTTCTGGTTAACACAACAGGAATATACAATTGATATATTTTTCGCCCAAACGTGGTATGACAGACGTCTGAAATTCAACAGCACTATAAAAGTGCTCAGATTAAACAGCAACATGGTTGGGAAGATCTGGATACCAGACACGTTTTTCCGAAATTCCAAGAAGGCTGATGCTCACTGGATAACAACTCCTAATAGGATGCTCAGGATCTGGAATGACGGCAGAGTCTTGTACACACTGAGGTATTTACACCTAACTTGAATTTCATTTTCTCTAAGAAAAGCCAGAGATAAAAATCTTGCCAATTCAGGTCATTTGACATTAACCTGAAGGGAAAAAATACTGGGTTTTCCTATATATTTATGCAAACAACCCGGGAAAAGGGAAGAATTTAGAAGATATCAAGTGTATGAAATTTATTTTATATTGGCACAATAAGAAGTTTTATTTCTTCTTATAGATTGTACTGCCTTGCTCCACAGTAATCACCTTCCTATATTAACATTAACATAGACATTTTAATAACAATTAGTCTTCATTTTCAGGTATGTTCTATTGTTTACCTTTGGTTTGGTCCCGTCTGCTTTTTGGTTGTTTTAAAATGATAAATGTGAAATATCCTTGAATTAAGTAGATGGTATAAAAGGAGCTACTACTTACATCAAAGGCCTCTTATTCTGAATTGATTACAATATAATCAGATGAAACTCCACCCTGAAAAAGCAATTTATTCCTCAAATATCTTAGACAAATAAGATTTTGCCATCCCAGCATTGACTATTTAACTCAAACCTATGGATATGCCCCATTCCACCAAAATTTTCATGGAACTGAACTTGATGTACTCAACCTGTACAGATTCCTGTGTCATGTGCATAGTTTTTCTTTTAAGACAAAGTACCTTTTCAATAATTATGTGGATGCCATAGGTAACAACTCAAATATCATATTCCAAATTATCATAATATACTTTGTAAATGTGAAAATCCTGTGGGAGTTTTTTTATACTTTTTCTTACATGTGATATAATATTTGGGTTTATGTAAAATATAGATAAACATAGCACTGTTTCAAAAGAATTTATAATTTAAAATGAGATTATACAATCAACGATGATAGACATAAGCATATCAGATGATAGACATCTGAGCTTTAGACTACATTTTGTCAAAGTTTTATTTTGCTTTTACTTTCTTGTAGCCAAAAATAAAGCTTTGAAGAAAAGTACACTCAATTTTACTGAGTAGATGTGAAGCTTTGGTTAACACAAACTTTTAATGTTGCAACTGTCTGAATTATAAAAGAGTTTTATTGCATAGCTACTTTACATTTATTGCATATTAGAATAATAAGAATTGAAATTCAATGTAAATCAAAGTTAATCTGAAAAAGATGAGCCTAGATCAGCTTTCTAAATGTTAAATTTGGACTAGGCTAGACTACTGTCTGCTTGGGTTTTTTTATCGTTCTCTTCAAATTCCTTGGTTTCTCTCACTAGAAAGAGATGTATCTGGTAGCACTTGCAAACAGGTATCCACTCTGAACGCACATTTAGTTGTGCTGGTGAGTCACAGCAAGCACCGAGGATTCAACCACAGTTAACCCAGAAATGAAACGTGATAGCATCACACAGCTGGGGTTCTGTCCTCAAGAGGGATCCAGAAGGGCTGGTTGAGTTTTCTCAGTCACCTCCCCCAGGTTTTAGAACCACCTGCCCAGCAAGAAACCAAGTATCTGTGGTACTGGAGATGATGAAAATGAGAAGAGGAAGAGAAACAGGGAAATTAGATTGCTTCCCAAGTCCCTAACACATAAAGGTTGTCTTCGGACTCCACCATTAACTTGGTGGTCCCAGCACTCATCTGCATCCCACAGGATGAGACTTAGGGCCATTTGCCCATAACACCTTCATTCAGGAACATGGAAACAGACCAGGATTCATCCTTTGGACACCCCAGAATCAGCAAAGACCAGAAATCTGCAGCTTTCCTAGAGACACCTTGTGGAACAAACATTTTTACCCCACCCTTTTCCTTTTTCCTTATACCACCCCACCTCTTCTCTCTCTTGCAAAGTCCAAGTATCCTGCGGCTCATGGCTGGGCTGGGAGTGAGTGAAAAATGGTGGAAGTTTTATCAGGAACACCAGAGGGTACATTGCATCTTACTTGGGATTTCTTAGAGCAATTGTTTTTACCTGAGCTTAGCACCTACACTACCTGAGTTATCATGGAGACTCTCCTAATATTCAGTGGAGACAAACACCTTTTGGTACATTTTTCTTCTGATTAAATTTGAATGTCTTATTTTGGAGTGAGAGGAAGTGTATCCTCAGAATGCCTCTGCACTAGCTGTGAAGGGAGTCTGGATGGCTGTCTTGGATGCAGATGTCTAAATTTGGACTCCCATCCATCATTTCTGAAATAGAATCTTTGTCACATAAAATACATTTTCCTAATGCTTTATGGCATGTTGTGACACAAAGATTTGTCACTGCTCATGAGATGACCTGTATATCTACCTACCTATGGATTTGTCAGTCGTGAGTAATGCTGCCATTTCAGATGCACAGGAACAGAACTTTAATACCTTCTTCCATTACACAGTCCAGAAAGTAGATGATCAGGGTCTATGGAACCAAAAAAGAAATATTGCTTATCAGTAACCATGATGTCTTCCTATGGTTGGAATATTCCAGTAATTACATAGATAGCAATAGTTTACTTTACACACACATATGTATATATCTCCTGATCTCTTTCTCCTCAGGCTGACAATTGATGCTGAGTGTCAGCTACAGTTACACAACTTCCCAATGGATGTCCACTCCTGCCCACTGGAATTTTCAAGCTGTAAGTAACATGCTTAAAAATATTCCTTTTTCTGACCCACACTAAATTTATCATAAATTTATTTTTATGTACCTAGAGTCAGTGAAGGTTATGTTCTTAATTAGACATACCCTACTGATTTTTAGTTTTATTTTGATTTTTTTTTTCAGTTCATGTATTATATATGGTCACAAATATCATTAATGACTGCTATGAAAAATTATAAAATTTCTGGGCCATATGTGATTAATTTCTGCTTATATTTGACCATAAAACAAGAAACTTTTACTTTCAGCATCAAGGTGTCCTGGTCTTTCACCTTCTCTCTGTGCATGGAGAGAACTACTATTGTACTAGTTGAAGTCAAGAGTTTGGCATTTTGTGGTTAGATCAAGGTGTGAATTCCTGGTCCAGCTGCAGATGCATCTGGAGGATGAGCAAAATTGCATCCTATTAGGTCCACAAAAGTGGAAAACCTATTTTTGAAAAATTGATCTCAAGTGCTATTATAATTAATAATTAATAAAATGTGACATTAAGTAAAAGGCACTAGTAAGTAACTTGAGAAAAACATATTTATAATTTACTTGCAATATGCTTCCCCAGTTTTTTTCCAGAAATAGCTAGTAGTATTTTTACTCCCCAAAGCACCCTAAAGCCTAGCAGTGGCTATGAAACCAAGCTGTGTGTATTTTCCATTGCAATAAGATGGCTACCCCAGAGAAGAGATCATTTACCAGTGGAAGCGCAGCTCGGTGGAGGTGGGGGACACCCGCTCCTGGAGGCTCTACCAGTTCGCCTTCACAGGACTCAGAAACACAACTGAGGTGGTGAAGACTACTTCAGGTAAGACAACTCAAGGATTTGCCTCCAGGCTGAGTTAGGATTTTATTAACAGAATGAAACCAAGAAAGGTGTCTCTGGTTAGAACTTAGCATTTATGCTGCGCCCGAACAATTACAGGCTTTTCAGCATCTATGGAACCATCCAGCCTTTGGCATTTCTGAATTCCTTACAGGAAGAAAAATTAGTTCTTGTCTGCTATCCATTCTTGTCCTCCATAAAAAACCTCTGACTGTCAGGAGGAAGCCACTGCTACAAAGGGTGGACGGGTGAGGGAGCTTGCACTGCTTCAGGGCAGAAAACAGCACAACTGAGCCACTAAAGGATGAACTGAGACTGCACTGAACACTTTACAATCCTCTTCCCACTGCCAGACACAGAAAGTAAGCCTGCACAGAAGTGAAACTCAAAGTCCCAACTTCTTTACTACAGAGGCTCCAAGTTTATTTTGTTCCCTAAAATAAGGCACATTCAACTTTCATTAAAGAGAACAGCTTTACAAATCAGTCTCAGATGGCCTTCCTTCATATTTTTATCTCCTTGGAAACAAGCAACGGGATTCAGAATTATAAATGAGGATGTACTCAGTGTTTATTAAAAATACAATTTTAACCCTACTAACTAAACAGAAAAATACATTTATCTGTATGTTTTATTTCTTGGTGGAAACAAAAGCAGTTACTATGAGGAGAGATGTAAAGAGGAACTGCATATTAATGTTGTTGTATATGCATGATATATCTTGTCTTTCATTTCTTACTTTCATAAAGAACAATGAAATGTAAGCAGGTTGGGGATTTTTCTGTCTGCTTCCAATTTTTACCTTACTTTATAGTTTTGGCAAGTCTCTTTAATTTAAATTCAGGCATCTGTGTTTATTCTGACTTCAGAAATACCCCCACCCATTTTATTTCTACAAGGCCAGCAGTGCTGTTTTATTCAAAAAGGAAAGTGAGATATGCTAGAGTTGAGAGGAGCCTGCTGTACATTACACAGGAGAACAAGCGAGAATTAATTCAAGTTCCAAGTCCTTAATCTCTGGACATTAAGCACCAATGATGTGTTCAGTCTCATGAGCAGGGCAAAACCAAAATGCAGCCATGTATGCCTCATGGAGTCTGCTGCCACTGCAGCCAAGGAAGGTATTTAGTCAAGTATTGAAGAAAGCAGTTAACTTTTCTCATTTTCTCAAGAAAACAAACATCAAGGTGCAAAAGAGGACAGGAGAGCAGCATGTTTGCCAACCATGGCTGCTAATAACCACCATTACACAGGGCTCTCAAAGCAAAAATATCAGCAGCAATAAAAACATCTCCCCTCAGACAGCACAAATGACAGGATTGCACCCAAGCGTGCTTCCAGTCTCATCCTGCCCACATTGAAAACTATCTATATTTCACCCCTAATTTGAGTTTCTTCTATTTGCTATTTTCTTTAATTTTCTGCTTGAGCCATTCTCTAATCAACTCTTTTTATTTTTGACCAGAGATAGAAAATAATAAAATCTTGACATGCTACAAGCTTCCTATACCCTGATTGAGTGCACTGGTGACTCAAAAACATTCTCTAATGTTCTGTTAATGTGAATGAGGTGCATCCTGGGAAACAAACAGCAAAATACAAAAGAGCAAAAAATTCCTTTCTCATGCAAAGCAAACCTTTCTTTTTTCAGGGTATAGTCATTCAAACTGTTAGTACTCACCTGGAATACTCTCATAATTTAGCCTCCATAGTTTTTAATGTGATGACACACATCAGGCCATTTTGTTTGCACTAAAATAATTAGCAGCTACCATGAACTTTAAAGCAGTAAAATGTTGTCACTCAATTCCTAAGTGAAAAAGCACATGAAAGTTACTCAGCCTGCTGCTACTGCATTCACAGGCCTGCTGATTATAAAAATTTGGAAAAATATCCTGTGTATGTATTTCTTCTGCTGCAGTTACCCTGTGCTTGATTTTCATTGCTCCTCTACTTTTTATAACCACAGATATGTAAAACTAGGTTTTATTTTGGTCTAGATGTGGCATCTAAATAAAAGAAGGCAGGAAAAAACCCAAATAATATAGCAGCTGCCATGAATCTGGTCTATTTCCTACAAATATTTTCTTAAAGCCAGCAGAGCCTCAAGGGTCTTTATGGCTTCCTTAAGTGACTTGTTAGCATGCTGGAAACCACACTAAGTCCAGTATTCCTCAGCCAGATTCACACTTTACCTATAATTACACCCTTAGAATGAACATATTTTCAAAAGTTTCATGAACAGTAAGGACAAAAAAAAAAAATCCAATTTTAATAGCAACCTAGGTGCAGCCAGAGTACCCTAGTTAAAAGTTTGAGTACCCATACAGCTAAAATAATCTTGACACTTGATGCAATTACTTTCAGTGCAGAATTTCAGTACAAACTCATGCCAATGTTTTGGTGGAGATAAAGTCTGAGGTAAAGTGGAGGAGGCAATGGAAAATTAATGAGATGTTGGAAAGAGGGCTATACTATACTCCCACAAACTCTTCCCCAAAATTAAATTTAGTTGAAAAAAAACCCCAGAGAAACCAGAATGAAAGAAGGAGTGTTAGAGAATGCAAAATCGAACAGTTAGAAAACAAAAGGATCTTGGGACTAGCGTTAAGACATTTGAAACTGGAGTAAACCTTCAGTGTCTCTATCTACACAATTTCAAAACAAATGCTTGTTTCCAGCTGTATACCTCCCAGCAACCAACACCTTCTGATCCTTAAGGGCGATGCTTATTTTGTGTCTGAAGGGAGAATCAGGAAGGCTGAGATTTGGCCATGACCAACTCCACTACTCTCTTCCTGTCATGTCAAAGCTGCACTTTTGAGCTGTGGGCTGGGCCATGGGCAGAGAAGGACAAGGCTTGTTTGAGTGTGAGCTTCCTAAGACCTGATGGCTCTTGCTGAAATTAATACATTTATCTGCTGCTCTTCCTTTGCACGCACTGCAGAAATACAAGATTAACTCAATGGGCCAGATGTCAGAATTCTGTCCCTTACTTAGCAAATCTCAGCAAATCCCAGCAACAGCTGAAAAATCCCAACCGGAATATTAGAAACATCCCTCTATTTCTCTTATCAGAAGTACGTCATCCTGAAGTACCAGCTTGTTTCTCTCCGAACTGAACATTTACATGCAACTTTTTCTTTGAAAGTCACTGACCAAGCAGTAAGAAATAATTTAGCAAATGGAATCCAATTTAAGAGTCCAGTAATAGTGGGGATTCTTAAAAAAAGTTGACTACAAACCTTCTGCCTTGTATACGGACTATTTGGTTATTAAAATAACCAAATAGTCCATATACATTATCTGAATTTTTTTTTGCCTTTACACTAAAATCTACCTTTTGTAAACAGCATTGGCTTAGTTTAGATTATTTCCAATAGGAGTACATGTTGAGACTTAATATCATCTGAGTTATATAAGTGCAATACTTTGAGAAAGACAGGGTAGTGCAGGGGAACATAGCAAGTAAGGAGTTTAGAAAAAACGACCTATAGAAATACATGGAAGTATGGAACTAGTCTGGAAGAAAAGAATATTGATGATCAAAGGAGTAAAACAACCAGACTGTTTTTAAATCATAACAATGATCAATGCTGCTAGAAAGGAAAATAGTGGGAACCCTAAAATCAGAGAGTTTATAAAATCATAGGACAGATCAAGAGGAAAGAAGTAGCTTAATCTTGAAATTGTATCAATAGGTTTCCATTAATTTAATACAAGTCCTACATAAATTGCACTTCTACTCACTCTTCCAGTTGTTTTCAACATATAAAACATTGTACTATGCAAAACAGTTTGTAAATGTGCAATTATTCAGGACAGATGGAGTTTCTGGTATTCCCAGTTCATTTCTATGACTGGGTAGTTCCTTTTTTCAGACCAGATATTGTCTACTGCTTATTTACAGAGTCTGTCCTGAATTTTTAATTAGATACAAAGGCATTAGAAGACTAATAAAAAGCAATTCAATAAACTGCAGAGGAGCCACAAGACTGGTCAGGCAATATTTGTAAATACCTTTTATTTTCTTCCTTTTCTATGTTTTAGAGAGCTAATGGGAGCTCTATGCAATAGAGACAGTGCATTGCTTAGAATTGATAAATGGGTAATTAAATATTCCCCTTGCGATGCAACTGCTAAACCACAGAAGTAAATCTGGGTCTGGTTTCTGTTTTATCTAGAAAATATAGTCAGGTCTATTATTTTGTGGAAGAGGATGTATTTTCAGGCTTTTATACTTTATTTCAATTTTGTTTCCTAATGAATTGAACTGTTGGCAGATATGCAGTCCCCAGAGGTTTCATAATGCTCAAAAAACCCCAGGAGTCGTCTTCTGTTTCTTTATTAAGGCAAAATATGACAGCTGCAATCAGATTTGTAGATCTGCATTGGGAAACAGTCCTGACATTAAAAATGGGCATAAGTGGATCTCCAGTGCACCTAGAAATCCCTGCCAGCCCCACACAGCCTCAGGCTCCAGCATGGGCTGACTGCAGCGTCTGGCATTGTCAGGGAGATCTGCCTGAGAACCCAAAACATTTCCTGTCTGAAGATGCTGAGCTACTGAAAGGGTACAGGGCACTGCTACCTGCACCTTGCTTTTGGCAGAACTTAAACACGTTTGTACTCACCTTACAGAGGAGCAAATAATGGCATAAGCTGCAAGTCAGAAAACCCAGATGACTTTTAAAGTGTTCTGTGCATTCTTATTGTTCTCTTTATGGTATGGGAAAGTATTTATCTCAATATCCTAGTTTTTGAAAAAGCTATATTAAATTATTACCTTAAACATGCTTGCTAGAAGAATACGGTCTCTGTAGGACAGTGAAACACTTAAAACAGAAGGCAGATACAACTGGCTGGAAAAAAAAACAAATACTACTTCTAAGGAATCAATAGCTTTAAAAATCTCAGAGACTGAGAGAATCTGACTTTTCTGTTCAGGTTTATATCTGTAGAGATTCAGGTATTGAAATCCA